GGAGAGCCTGGGAGTAGACTCCTGTTAGGCCCTCAAGGGAAGGTGTATGAGGCCAGGAAATAAAGGAACCTCCCAGGATCCTCCTACACTGGGGTGCTCACATACAGTTGCAGCATATGCTGGTCCTCGAGTACAGCTGAGACATACTCCAGAGTCTCTTCTCATAGCTGAGGCATCTACTGGTTCTCTACATCCATCGGGGACAGACACTGGAGTCCCCACATACAGCTGAGGGACACTGTACATCCTAGTGAGGTGGGCCATATGGTGGGGGAGTACTGTGCATATAGCTGGGGTATACACTGGGTACCAGAATAAGGGTGGGACTAAAACACAAATCCTCAGAGGCTTGGCCAGTGTTGGGCTCAGGATAGATTCACAGCCCCAGATCAGTGTTCCCTGTAGGCAGGGCAGGATCTCTGCCAGCTGCACAGCGTGGAGGATAACATACTGCCTGTTATAAGCCTGTGTGGATGGTGCTCTTCCGAAGCTCCTGGGTGAGAACTGGCTGCTCTTTATGTGTGCTCCTAGAAAATCATGGTTCCTGAATTTATCTTTGGTATAGGAGGAATTGACATCGGTTTGCAGCTGTGAGAAAAGCCCAATGCTGACACCTTCTGTCAGGAAGGCTCTGTATGCTGGGAAGGGTCCAATGGGTGGCTCTGGTCTAAGTGACAGGGCTTCCATTCCATGGCAGCCCTCACCCACTTGTAGCTCCTGAGAGATGGTGTTTGCCAACAAGCTCGTAGCAGACAGCTGTTTTTAGGAGAGTGAGAAAGCCTCAACCAGGGGTCTGGCCAAGTCATAAGAGAAGAAAAGTCCTGGGAAGGCTGCACATATGAGGAAACCAAATGCTGGACAGAGATACTGGCTATGAGAAAGGAGCCAGGAAGGGGGTTGGGGGTGTCAGGTTGGGGGGTGGGGTGTCAGACTCACCCCAGCCATCTGCTCTCAGCTGCCAGCATCAGAGAGCCTGAAGTTAAAGTCACAGCAGCAGGTTACATATATGGATCCCACACTTGGCCAGAGAACTTGGATGCTAAGCTTATGGAGGTTGAGGAGGGTTCTGTGCATCTAAGCTTTCAGATGAGCCCCCGAGAGAGGGGACAGGCTTACAGTTATGACAAACATTGGCCTGGGCTGGGAGCCCCAGGGTTTGGAAAGAGCTCTGGGATGGGTGGCTGCTCAAGTTGAGGTAAGAGTCTCCTTGGGTGGTAGTCAACTGCCAGCAAGGTGAGTGTTCCTACCAGAGTAGCACAGGAAGGGGTTGGGCATAGCTCGGGCCAGGTTATCACTCTCCATATTGGCTTCTCTGGGCAGCCTGTGGTAGATTCTCTGACTCCTACAGACTACCTGGGTCCTAGGAATAGAGGAAAGCAGCCCCCAAAGAGGCCACTGTCATAAAGCAAAGAAGATCTATGGCAGTGCAGTGTGGATGGGGATTGCAGCTGTGGCTTAGTTGATAAGGTTTGCCTGGGAGGATCAGAAACTCAAGGTCACCTACCCTCCAAAAACCTATTTATTGAGTTGGAGGCTAGTCTGGGGTCTGTGATACCTAACCCCTCCCCCCCAAAAAACAAAACGCAACTCCCCCAGACAAAAAATAACTCACACCATGCTACTGATGGGGCCCAGCAGGAATGGTGATTGCTGTGGGCTCTCTGTTCACTGTGTGAAGATGTATTGCTGTAATTGATGCAATAAAATGTTGAACACCCAATAACTGGGCAAGAAGGAATAGGCAAGATTTCCGGGCACAGGGAGAGTAACTGGGAAGAAGAATGTAGACACAGAGGAGACAACAAGATACAGAGGGAGTTGGACATACAGAATGAAAGGTAAAAAGCCACATGGTAAAACATAGATTAATAGAAGCAGGTTAATTTAAGTTACAAGAGCTAGTGGGACAAGCCTAAGCTAAGGCTGATCTGAGCTTTCAAAATTAATAAGAAGTCTCTGTGTTGTTATTTGGGAGCTGGCTGGCAGGACAGAGAAAGACTCACTACAGGTGATCTCCAAGAAGAACCACAAGCTGTGGACCCAGCAGAAACCTTGGTCAAACCCAAACACATCTTGGTTGAAACCATCCAAACTTCTTGGACTTGAACCCCAAATCATGCTTCCTTATTACTTGCAGTCAGATAATCCTGGAAGAGGCTGGAATCCAAGGATTATCAGGCAGTCTTTCAGCTGATGTGGGCAGAGGAGTCAGCTTCTGGTGGTCCTGCCCAGCACATTCTAGGAGAGACTCCCTTCCCCACAGACAGAAGAGAACAGAGCACCTAGTACCTAAATGGTGAGCTCAAAGCACTGTGTAAACTAGGCAAGGCTGGAAGGCCAGAGCAGTCAGGGCCTAGTGCATTGGTCATAAAGAGAAGCCAGAAGAACATCACAGGGCTGAAAGAGGTCAGTGAAGAGATGATATTTCCATTTCATTTTTTCCAGAAAAAGGCTTTGGCCTAAGTCCGAGTAAGACATGGTAAAGATTAAAAACAAACAAACAAAAAAACCAACCAACCAAAACTATGAGCAACTATCTAAGCAAAATTAATCAGACAAAAAAAAAAGTTTTTGCAACCCTGTCATTCTCAGCAGGCTCATCCCAGATGGCCCCTGGGGAAGGCTGTGGCTCAGTGCACACAGTTGGGCCAGATCCAGGCCAGTTCGGTTCCCCTTCTCTATAGGATGGTGGGCTGTAGTTCTTTTAAAAAGATGTCTTACTCTGGAACCAGCTGTTGTCTGCTGTAGGCCAGAACATGGCAATTTAATTAGCATTATTGTTCTGCTTCTGAAACCAGGCTCTGTGGCGTCCCAAGGGCAGATGGTCCTGACCCAAGCTTAGGCAAGGCTTGCTGGCTAGCTTAAGACACAAGCGGGTGGGGTACAGTCCCTTGCCCTTCCCAATCCCAACTGTTCACTATATTTTCTGTCCGGAACTTCTATTGAGGGAACCAACTGTCCTGCAGACAGAACCTGTGAAGTTTGTGTTAAGTCTAAGATATAATTCTGAACATAACACTGATGGTATGCTATGCTGTAAGACCTAACCCCAACTTTTCTGGAAACAGTGGGGGTACAGTCCCACAATCCAACAGAGTCACACGATCCTGGGACCTCCCAACATCTCAGATTACAGTTCCTCTTCCAAATCTTAAATTCTTTAATTAGTAATAATTTTGTGGCATGTTCATATGTGTGGACTCCCATGTGAGTGTGCAGGTCACTTGTGCATGTACACATCCCCGTGGAGCCCAAAGGCCAGCCTCTAGTGTCTTCCTCACTCTCCTTGTCTTTTAAGGCAGGGTCTTGAATTTTTCCTGGAATGTGATTTGGTTAGGATGGCTGGCTAGAACTCAGAGATTCTCGTCTCTACCTCCCCAGCAAAGGGATTGCCAAGTGTGTACTGCCATACCAGGCCTTTCTACATGGGTTTTGAGGATTGAATTCAGGTCTGTATGCTTGTACTGAAGGTACTTTATCAAGTCTCCAGTCCCTTCAATTCCAAAAAAAAAAAAAAAAAAAAAGTGAGAGGGTTCAGGCAAATATGTCTTATGTGTGGTCAGAAGACGACTTTTACAAGTTGTGCTCTCCTGAAACAGTCAGGCTGAGGGTGATGCCACATAAACCCACCATGAGCAGAGTCCCTGGCTCTCTGCAGGGATTTCAATGTGTCTCTCTCTCCACCCTACACCCCATATCTCCCATCTTGGAAACAGACAGTGATTCCTTAAAAAATAGAAAAATATAGTGCTGCAACTTCAAGGATCTGGGTAACAAAAGAAACCCCTTTCTTTGGCCTCCAGCATTGTTTGTCCATGTAATACCGCAAAGCTTCACATGACTTCTGCTGACCACTGTAAACACCTACAGTTCATGGAACCAGGCATAGCTGGAGTGTCTGTATCTACAACATGTGCCCTACCCCATCCCAGCAGCACCCAGATTCCGCCCTCTGCTAACATGAACTTCCTAGACCTCAACCTCCACTACGGCTGATTCAGAAACCTTCCTCTGATCTCCATTAGTGGGAATGGATATGAGGGGACCTTCTAACAAACTGTTTTGCTGTGTGTGTGTGTGTGTGTGTGTGTGTGTGTGTGTATGAGTGCACACATGCTACAGTGTGCTATGAAGGTCAGAGGAAACTTACAGGAGTGGGCTCCCTCCTTCCATTTCGTGTTCTGGAGGCTGACTCAGGTCATCAGGCTTGTGTAGAAAAGTTTTACCTGCTGAGCCATTTTGCTAGCTTCAAAGTGACTCAGGACCACTGTATAAAGCCAGTGTTCACCATGCTGCTCAACAGAACAATGGGTGGTACGCAAGCGACGATGACTGGCATACGACTAGGTTTCTGTAACTATATCCATATTCTAAGCAAATTGTTATGTATTTTGTGTTCTGGGGACATATGTTATGGCTAAAGCCCAAACTGTGGCTAATCTTAATATTAGACCCAGATAAATCTGTTTCAAATCTATAACATTTAACATTTGCCAGAGTAGATTTGTTCATCAACTGGGCTTAAAGAGGTATAATTCACACATGTACAGTATTAGGAAACGCTGAAATGTAATGATTTAAGTATACCAGCAACTGCTGGGGCATGGTTGCTATGGCATTATTTAATGTTAGCCAGAATCCCCTGGCCAACGTTATAGCCACAGTAAAAGAATAAGGATCCTGGGCATCCTCTTGGGGTAGAAGGTCACAATGCCCTCAGCTCTTACAACATTGTAGCAGCTAGAATGGCTGCAGGGTGACAATCAGAGGACCCCTACTTTTCCTATGAAATATCCAGGCCAAGGGCTAAGGAACCTGTGATGGCCGCATCTGCTTTTGGGATGATTGTTCATGGGTCCTTCATATACTTGATGCATATGGAGCTGGGTACCCCTCCTGGCTGCATCTTCCCAGATGGCTGTTAGGACAGAAGGTAGGGCTATATGCACAGAAAGAGGACAGATCCTTGGATAACCATAAACCAGCATTCTAAACAGAAGAAAAAGGAGTAAAAAATAATTTTAATAATATCAAAACGCCAAAACAAAGAGTTGTTCAGGGACTGTCAGGACGCATCTTGGCAGCCTGTGTTCTTCTGCTATGTACCCAGGATTGTGACTCGGGTCCAAGCACAGTTCTAACCCTCAGAGGTATTGAGATCTGTAGCACGTTTTAGGCTTGGCTGTTCCTCCAGAGTCTGCTGATGCAGAATGACCGAATGCCTCTGCTGTGACTTCTGGATCTAAAACTGGACAGTCACCACAGCCCTCTTCTCTAAGGCAGCTGTAGGGCCAGTGAGGTGGTCAACTGGGTTCACAAGCCAAAAGCTATACACTGGGCTCAAAACTGCAGCTCGTCCCTGAGACTTCCTTCCTTTGGCATTTCCACAGAGTCCATTGGAGACAGGAGGACAAAGCAAGCTGCACAGATCAAGAGGCTCCAGTGTGTTCGGGGAATTTTGACCCAGGCTGGCCTCTGCCCCACAGTGAGTGCTGCAGGGCCTAGCTGGGCTCTTCCACAGCCCTGGGTAGTGGCAAGCTTCATAAGCTGCCGATGTTGGGAAAGCTCTTCAGTTTCTCAGGGAAGTCATCTTTGTAGAGCACTGGATCAGCTCGGTGCTCCACCACCTTGAGGGGCATGGTCCCGAAGACGGAAGCAAACTTATTGATGCATTCAGACCTGTGGGTGGATGAGAGAGTGGGCCAAGCAGAATGGAAGTGGTTAGCTGCTGAGAGACAGCAAAGCCCAACATAGCCACTGTCCACAAGGGAACTGAAAGGTGCTGAAAGGGTACCCAGCCCATTGCTGGGCTCTGCAAAGGGCTGTGATGGAAAGCAAGGTGACCTGAGGTCCCTGGATCTGTTCAGAGGAAAAAGTGAATAGGGGATGCTGTCTGCAGGCTTGCAGGTCAGGACACCTGCCCCTCCCCCTCGAATTCCAGTCATTTTTCCAGCACTAGCAGGCCTCAAACCCAGGTGGATTAGCTCCAGCAATCTTAACCCCATCTCTGCCAGTTACAGGGAAGCAGGATGATGATGATGGAAAAGAAAAATGCTGTTTGCTTAAGCTGAAGAGGTGGAAAGGGTCCTATTCATGCAAGGCAGAGGAGCAGAGGGATTGGTGACTCTGTGTTTCATGCAACAAGCACTTAGCTCCCCAGCACTCACAGATGGCCTGTAAATACCCAGCCATAAGCGCAGCACTTTTGACACATCCAGAGTTCACAGAGGCTTTCTGCATAATCAGTCAGATTTTTGTTACGCCCGCACTAGAACCAGGAGCAAGAGCAACTTGGTGACAAGAGTTGAACACTGCAAAGCAGAGCTTCCTCTGCTCCTCCTCAAAGTTGAACCTCCCTTCAGAGGTCCCCATTATAGGAATGGCTTAGGTCAGTCAGGCCAACTGAGTGTGACAGCTGGGTAATGAGGATGCGTCAGCACCAGGCCAGAGGGGAGGCAGCCTGGGAAAAGCCCTTTTGAAGTTGGGGCCCAGAAGGATGGATTTCAGAGGGCTGGTGCCTTCTCAGCAGCTGCCAGAGCGCTATAGCAAGGAAGCTTGATGAGAGACTGGCCACAGGGCAGGAGCCACCTCCAAATGCTCACTGCCACCTCTCCATCTCAAGGCCCCTTAAGTTGCTTCCCAAATGCATAGACAGTGAAGAGCTTTGGGATCAGGAAGGGCTCATTAGTGAAGGCCACATCATCAGCTCTTCTTTCCTTGTTGCATTTCTGAAAAGCTTGTACCACTGCATCGTGGTACCATCAACAGATCTACCAACACCACAAAGAAGTAATGTTCATTAGATGCTCCACAAGGGAATGAATGCTCAGGTGTCTCCTCCATCCCAGTTTCTAGTGGGAAGGCTGAGACACTAAGAGGCTGTATGTAAAAGCTAAACAAACAAACACATAAATAAGTGCCAGAGCCAGAGCCAGAGCCAGAGCCAGAGCCAGGGTTTCCAGCTCCTGAGACTGAAGACTGAGTGACAAGACACATGTTGACTTATTAACCTGTATGGCCCAACAGGAGGTGCCCAAAGGCCACAGCTCCAGAACCCCTGCTCTGTGTGTACAAGGCAATTTACCTACATACCTTACTGATTTAAGTACTCCTCCGCACCCTCAACTCTCTTTCCTGAGTTTTTATTCGCCTAGTGTTAGGTTCAGAGAGGTTAAGCCGAACAAGAATGATAGACTAGCAATGGTGGAACTGGGATTCAAACTTGGGCTGGCCTTGGCTGAATCACTCTCCACCACTCTGGGCCAGCTAGTGTCTGCAGGCCCTGAGACTCAGCATGGAGAGGGCCTCAGGGAGACTGGTAAAAGGAGGAATGGCCTCTCTCTCTCTCTCTCTCTCTCTCTCTCTCTCTCTCTCTCTCTCTCTCTCTCTCTCTCTCTCTCTGAAAGGTGTATTTTGAAATTGGTTTACTAACTAGTGGGCTTCTGTAATTTTTTTCATATATCCTTAGTTTTGGATAACCCCTCACTACCCCCCTTCTCTCCCCTCCCATCCCTGCTTAATCCTTTAACTCCCAGTGTTATTCTTCCTTCATTTCATTTGTATTCTATGGAATTACCATAGCATGGGTGGACAATATTACTCCCTGAAGATAAGGGTCATTCAATGAAAATTGTCATACAAGGCATGAGACGTCTTCCAATAAGTTAATGGTCAGCAAGCTCTCCAAAACAACAAAGGCTATTGCCACCACCCTTGGTGGCCCACCATAAAACAACATGGTAAGGCCTTATTGTTGAAGACACTGCTCCCTTTGGATGTAGGACACAGAAAAATTAATCTCAAACTGGGAAACTGCCTCCCTAGCTTTCATAGTGTTGGGAGTGCTATGTAGGCTCCAATGCAAAACATGTCTACTCATGCACTAGTGGCATGGCCGTTATGGAGTAAACTACCTAGTTGCTTTCTGACTGGATTTGAGGCTTGCTGAGGCGTGAATTTCATTTATACTATAATCCTGGTCAAAAGCTCATGTCTAGGTAGAATAGGGGCATGGGCCCTAGGATAGAATGGGCTACTGTTTTTTTTTGGTAACTGGTCATGCTGTCAAACTACCTTCTAACTATTTATGTTTATGTTCATAGACGTGGGCTGCTCTCAACTTTGGTCAGAGAGACCAAAGTTCTGTATGCAGTGGGCAGAAGTCAACAACACAGAGTGGCTAAAGTACTGAGTGCTCAGGCCTAAACAGGACATCTATATCAAGCCCTTGCCCCAGCAAGTCACAGCAAGGCAGAAAGAGTGTAAGAGGCAGGGGATGGGCAGAAGTGGCGTGGGGTGCTGTTTTCTGGACATGGTGTTACAAACATGAACTCACAGCAGCCAGGGTTCCTTGCAAAGGTCCTGAACAAAAGGAAGACAGCCAAAATCCCGTCATTGATGGGGCATATAAACTCCACACCCCTCCCCTTGCTGGGATGTACTGGAGTGGACAGTTGCTGGAGGAGGGAGAATCATTTTTGATTGAGGATGTGAACACTGCTAGGTTTCCCATGTCCAGTGGATGGCCTTACACACATGCACGTATGGATAGCATTAACTGAACTTAGGGGGTTATAAAAAAAGACATATACTTGGGAGGGAAATATGTTGAAGGGAACAGGACAGGAATTTGGAAGGAGATAGGTAGTAGATGTGATCATATTTCATTGTATGCAACATGAAATACTCAAGAATAAAAAAATTAAAGAGAATGAGAGAAAGATAAGAGGGATAAGTTGATGAGTCCAGGCACAACAGCTTCATGCTCTTTGGCCTTGTGATCACAAGGCCAAAGCAGTACAGGCCAGCCTGAGTCTCTCCTTAGCTATACATACACAGCAGCAGCTCCTTACCTCTAGCTCCCTGCTAGGCCCAGTATAGGGTCTTTGGTGTCTTCATAAAAGCCTCTTGCTACATGAGAGTGGCTCACAGCCCTTTGGAGTATTGAGGACATGGGCTCTGTAACCAGATCTGCAAGCTGGCTGGAGAGCTGCCACTGGGGTTCGGGCTTGCAGCAGTTGCCCTGGCTGATCCTGCTCTGGCAAGTGCCACCCACTTTCCTCCATAGTCTGTGCTAGGGAAGTGACACTGGTCATTCTTGACAGTAAAGGCCCTTCCCTTGGCTGCCTACGTTCTTCTCCCACAGGGGATCTGTCTTGGGCACAGTAGGCTGAGAGTATGGCTGGCCTCAGGTGGCTCACCTGAGTCACACTGTCCAGCCACCCACCCCATCAGAAAGCCTCTCCCACGCTGCTTTTCTAATCAAGGGGGCTGCACACTAAACTTCCAGGGTCTATGACTGCATGCTGAAGTATCTGGGGGAGAAAGGACTATGGACCTTACTTTCCTGTCATACATAGATCCAGGAGCCTTTAATATAGTGTCAGGGAAATGTGATGTAAATGAACACCGCTGGGCCCAACCTTGGTACAAGGATGGTCATAATTGTTTATGAGCTTATAAATGGACAATATAATTTGATATGCAATGGAAAAACTGAAGTTCAGGTAAGGTAAAGCAATTTCCTTAGGTCAGATTCCTAACTGTTAAAGACTGGACAGAAAATGCTGTTTTAAATCAATACTATCTGCCATGGAGCCCCTGGCAATGGCAGTGGTCAAAGAGCTGAAACTTCTGCTGGTTCTTTAAGAACCAGCAGCCTCTGGCAATAGACTGGAAGGAGTAAAAGTTACTTTCCTTCTCAGATGACAGCTCTGGTCCCAGACTCCAAGTCTATGACTAAATAAGCAGACTGAACCCCAGGCCGCAACATAAGGTCAAAAGATGGTGAATCAGTTTCTACTTCCGCTAGCTTGTGAAAAGGGTGTTGTGCAAAAGGAACTGTTGATAAGCAGGACAAGTGCAAGGTTCTACACTGAACCATTCCTGGGCTCGCTAGATGGCTCAGACCATCTTCCTTCTTCCAGCCTAAGTGCCTGATTTCTTTTCTTTTCCTTTTTTTGTTTTTTTGGTTTTTGTTTTTCGAGACAGGGTTTCTCTGTTATAGCTTTGGAGCGAGCTTTGGCACTCGCTCTGGAGACCAGGCTGGCCTCGAACTCACAGAGATCCGCCTGCCCCTGCCTTCCGAGTGCTGGGATTAAAGGCTTGCACCACCAACACCGGGCAAGCACCTGATTTCTTAAGTGGGGGCTCCAACCTTTAACCATGGAGCTTTGCTCATGGCTGCCAATGCATTTTCAAATCTGTCTCCTTCTGCTCCTCACTGAATTTCCCAATGAGTGGTTTGTATTTCCCAGCTGCCCTTGGTCACCATCTGGCTTAGTTGCTCTATAGTGTTAATGTTTGGGTCTCCACTAAGCATTTAGTTCACAGGCCCTGTCTTGGTCTGTACGTCCCAGGCAACTTTCCCACTTTCAGCCCTGCACACCCTGTCTTTCTTCCCTCTTTCCTGGCTTCTGTTTTCATTTACTGTTTCCCAAATGTAGGAATGTTTCCATTCTTCCCTGCTATGTCTGGGTAGGTAACTTCATACATCTTCATTTTCAATGGCCTGTGCAGAGGGCAAGCCTTCACAGTCACCCATCCTACTACTGTTGCCGGTGATTCAAATCTCCTGCCTATATCGTCTTGTTCAAGGGATGACCGTTCATCAGCTGCTTGCCCCTCCCCTGTGTTATTTGCACTGTTAAATGTCCTGCCATTTTTCTTGACTCAAAAACACAAGTTATTTCTGTAGCTTCTTTCCCCACAGTCTCTCCACACCTATCAAAGTGGCAACAGAACTCTGGCACATCTTCCTTTGGACAATTGTGGGCACTTAGATTTGTGCCTTTCTGTGTAGATTCAAGTTGGTCATCCTTCTCCCGTCTCTTTGCTATTCTTCCTATCCTAAGGACTGCTTTAAATTAATCTCAGAGCAATTCCTTAGACAAGTTAGTCCCCTTTTCAAATCCTTGATGCCTTCTCAGAGCCTGAAAGGAGAATTCAAGCTTTTTAATTGGGGCTCAATCTGGCTCAAAGTGAATTTCTTCATGCCTGCCAAACCAACTTTGAGCTTGCTGACCTGGCCTCACAGTTCCCCTCCCTCTGCCCTGCTCGTCACACAAAAAGGACAAGGCCTGGGCAGTTTCTAAATTTCTAATTAACTTATTTAAATTTTCAAATTATAATTTATTTTCATTTTATGTGCATTGATGTTTTGCCTGCATGTATGCCTGTGTGAGGGTGTCAGAACCCCTGGAACTAGAGTTACAGACAATTGTGAGCTGCCATGTGGTTGCTGGGAATTGAACCCAGGTCCTCTGGAAGAGCAAACAACTACTGAGCCATCTCTCCAGCTCTGTTGGTGATTTAAAAAAATATTTTGTATGTGTGTATGCCATATGAGTACAGATACCTGTCAAGGCTAGAAGAGGGTATTAGATTCCCTGAAGCTGGGGTTGGGTGTGGGGAACTGAACTGGAGTCCTCTGGAGAAGCAGCCAGTTCTCTTAACCATTGAGCCATCTCTCCAGCCCCCTGGTGATTTCTGACACTTCCCTTGACATGTTACCACTTTTAACAATATTATTCTGAATAATCTACCCAGTAAGAATGTTCCTTTCTTGCCTCTCATTATTATAAACTGTATTTTCCTACAGGGGTGCACCAGAAACAGCTCCAAATTAGGTTTTACACATATAAATATATACATGTCTGTATATGCATAAGCCACTGTTGGTAAGTACAAATCCCTAAATTCTAAAAGTTACTGTAACACTGTCTTCATAGCTCTCTTGTGAAGAAGCAGCCTCTACAGCTCCCTGCTCTGGCCCTGCCATTAACACAGCTTTAAATCTGCTATGCTCGCCTGCTAGAGTAGAGCTGCCTAACCCCACCATGAACTTCAAGGTTGTCATCGGGTCAGCTTTCCTCCCTCCCCTGTACTGTAACCTCCATGTTAACTCCGCCCACAACTACTTGCCTTGATGCTATGAATTCTCCTCAACACAGGGAGTAAGGTAGTTTTTAATAACCATTTCATCTACTCTGGTAGAATTACAACCAGGGCCTCTTCCCCATGAGCTATGGTAGATAATTAACTAACTCTGCCATACTTACAGCATTTGCAGTGTTACGGGGGACATTCATATATGATTTCACATCAACTGTTGGTAAAAGTCAATGGCTTTTGAGTAAGATATCTGTATGAGGGAGCTAAGGAGGCTATTTAGAGTTAAGTTAATAAAGCATCACAGAAAAACCCAAGACAAAGGAAAAGGGTCGGGAGCATTTCCTTGTGGTTACAGACTTCAGGAATGAACTGTGTTAGAGATGCATGTGCTGCTCAGGAACCCAAGGGAAGGCCTCCTCTGAAAGGTTGCAGACGAACTCTTGAAGCATACTTGGGTCCCTTGACAACTGTGCTGATGGACTCGAGAGTTCGAGGGCCTGAGTATGGAGGGGCTTCTAGAAGAATGAGTCTGATGGATTCAGGAGCTCTGAAGGCTGGGACTCTAGGATCTAGTAGATTCTAGCAGTTGTGAAGAAAGACACTCATGGTAACATGCCACACTCAAGTGTGATTGCTGAGGAACTGACATAATGGGTCAGAGTCTCCCTGCTGTTCCAATCTTCAGAGGTTGGCAGGTGACTTAGTGGGGTCAGCAGAAGCATTTTGTCTCTGCTGGGTTGGATTTAATTCTTTCTAGTCAAGCATTACTGTAACATGGAGCTATTATCCAGAGAAACAAGCCAATGTTTCCTTGGACTCAGCTCACTTCCATTCAAGTGACTACCGACAGTTAGTCACTCGGTCCACACAAAGGATCTGGCTTCCAGAGCTTAAGGCCAGCTATATTTTTCAGACCCTTCCAGCCATTACAAATTGAGCAAGCAGCATCCCAAATTAATTCACTGGGTGACCTGGGTTTGAACTAACTAAATTCCCACAGTGCAAAAGGAGGTGACTGGCTACCAGCTGCTGTCTTTGTATCTCTAACACAGTCCCATAAACAGGCCCAGGCAGGAAATGGGAATGGAGGCTGGGGTGGACCTCTGGCAAACTCACCTTTCTACCATGTGAGTCTGGTCTAGTGAGAGCCCATCGATGGCTGTGCACTCTGGACACTTGAACTTCTTTCTTGGAGTTACCTGCCGAGGAACATGAAACACACCCAGCTGTTAGTGCCCAAGACCATACAGTCACACCGTGATGCCACTCTGTGGCTTCTGTGCTGGGATACCTTGTGCAACCTGTGCAAGTATACACACGTGCACATGCGCACACCTCAGCATCCCTCCATTCAATCTGAGCTGCCTCAGCCAACGACAGAACTCCCAAGGGCCCAATAAAAGCAGTTTGGAGGGCTTTCGCCTTCTGTAACTGGAAAGAAGTTGTGATGACAAGCTCCTTAATTCCTGTTTAATGACTGTTTTCTCACTGCCAAGGTCCTTGTATAAACACCATTTGTTCTTGCAGTCATGAGGGCGATGAAATACAGCCTCCCACAACTTGCAGACTAACCTTGGTCCCAACAGGCAGTCTTGGCATCTCCTTCTAAGGCCCAGAGCAGGAGCAGCACCTCTCCTGGGGATGCCAGCTCATTTCCCAATTGCCTTGGTCAGGAAACAAACAAAACAAACAACAACAAAAAAACTAGCCACCACTCACTCTGCGACTCCTCTTCCCTGACTCCTTTTAACCCCGCTCCCCAAATGGGAGACCAGTGGTGATCCTTCTAGCAAACCCAGGGGAGGCTGTAAGAAGATGAGTAAACAGGGAAGGATGGGCGGATGAGAACACTAACCAGGGCAAGGTCTAGGTTCCCAGACTCCACCCACAGTAAGCAGTCACTTCTAAACACAAGCTGAAAAGCAATTGAAGGTCTGGGGTCCTGGAAAGCAGCCCTCACAATTCACACTCTTCTATTTTTCTTGAAATCCTTAGCCCTTGGAGTCCCTTGGAGTCCCTGGGGTGTCAGTGAGAAGCACCTATTTACTGTTCATGGGTCAGGAACAAAGCCAAGCTAAAGAGAACCAAGCAAGGGGTGAGACAGACTCTTACCTTAATGACAGCTTTCCCTGTAACGTTGGCCACCAGGAAATTCATGGCAATATCTTCACAGTTCATGTGAGCATCCACCCAGTTCTTGATGTCCCCAGGCATTTTGTAGGTATACAGGTAATTAAAATACTGTCACATGAGACAAAAATGAAGAAATACATAAACAGCAATTTTCCTTGGCTGGCATGTCAAGGGTAACTCAGTGGTACACAACCAAGATTAATCAGAAAACTTTCCCAGTGGGGAAGGGCAAAAGGAAATTAAGAGGCCCAGTGCCTTTAAAATAGGATGGTGCTGTGCACTGTGGGACATTGTGTCTCACTCTCTCTCTCTCTCACACACACACACACACACACACACACAACTGTAAAAAAGATTAAAATGGTAGATATTTGCTTTTATTTTTTTTAAGTTAAGATTTTTATTAATGCAGATTCTTAGATAAGTGACAAGCACAGATGGATGGCGCCAGGTGTGGTGAGTTCACGCTCCTAAGATTCCCTTTTTAAAGTATAAACATTCAAATAAATGCAAAGTAGAAAGTTTTATCTATGAATATTACATATAACAGGTCAGAGGTATGTTGTAAAAGAAATATTTCTGTTGTCTTCCTATTAATAAAAAGTGTGAGCCTAACGTGTAAGTGATCATGAGATCGATTGATCCAGCAAGTCTTCCTGGAGGCCATGCATGAGCTAGGATTGAAGGTATGTGCTTATAGACACAGAACAAGATTGAGGCAAACCTGAAATTACCATAAGCTCTATGAGTGAGCTAGAAATTAATGAGTCAAAAATAAGTAGCCAGGTATGAAGGTGTGCTCCTCTAGTCCCTGAACTTGGGAGCCCGAGGCAGGAAGGTTGGGGACGGACCTAGGGAGATCCTGCCCCCAGAAATAAATGCATGAACAGACACATAGACAATTTATGCATGTTCACTGATATGATAAACTTCCAAAGCTATAAATGGTAGTCTGCTTTGTTTGTTTTGCTGAGATCAAAACCTATTTATTGACCTAGAATCTCAGAAAAGTGGAAGCAGCAATGATGAGCTGACAACCAGCTACAGAGCAGGCTCAAAGAGCTCTCTACACATCATTAGCTCTCCTACTGCTGACAACAGAGGAGTTACTCTTTTTAATTAAACGCTATGCTCTCCGAGAGAATGCCAGGGCTGAATTGAATACTCTAACACCAAAAGCATAGTATCCAGCATTGCCCTAATCAAAAAAAAAAAAAAAAGTCAAGGGGCTGGAGTTAAGAGCAGGTACTGCTTTTGCAGAGGACCTGGGTTCAGTTCCCAGCATCTATGTTATGTGGCTCACAATTAACTATCACTCTAGTTAATAGGGGATCCAATACCTCTGGGCTCTGCAGATGCCTGCACTCATATACATATAGCCCTCCCCCCTCACATCTACATAATGAAAACAATAATAAAAGTAAATCTATTTTCTGTTTTTATTTGTTTTTTTTGCTAATCAAGACAGGGTTTCTCTGTATAGCCTTGGCTTTCCTGGAATTCCTCTGTAGAGCAGGCTGGTCTCGACCTTAGAGATACTCCTGCCTCTGCCTCCCAAGTTCTGGGATTAAAGGCGTGCACCACCATACTCAGCATAAAAGTAAATCTTAGGTCAAACCCATTAAGTGCTGACTGTCAGAACACACACTGGGAACTGCCACCTAACCAGAACCCAGTCAGAGCTCACACAGTAAGATTCATTTTGCTCATCAAAGCAGCTAAGTTTAATTTTCTAAATGTATTGTTATGCAAAGGAAGGCAAGGCAGTCAGTTTCACATCTTGTTGGCATTAGCAATACAGGAATTTAGAAACACCCAGGGAATCACTCCTTCTGTTGTAATTCCATCTTCAGGAACCTAACGGCCACAAGCACAATAGTTGAAAAAGGATATAAATTACAACTTAAGCACTGGATATTAGCATTACTTGAAATGACAAAAATTAAATACCCAATGGTAGAGAAATACATATAATTTAAGGAACATCTAGACAGTGGCTTATTACCAATTATGTTATGAAATAACTGTTTATGAAGAAAGATGAATGGCATGACAAAACACTTTAATACCAAAACATGTGTACAGATGAGAATGTGTACACCTATGGGCTGGAGACATGGCTCAGCCTAAGAGGCTAGGCTCACAACCAAAAATATGAGACTGTGTACAACTACATATGTGTGTGTGCAGACAAAACAAAAGGCCAGAAAAGCATCTCCCAGCCATGCTGTCTTTAAGTGATACAAGTGGCTTTTTCTCACTTATTATATGAAGTTTTGGTGCTTTTTGTTTAGAAGGAGCATCATACACATGGCTTTTCAAAGTCTTTTAGGCAAAACATTTTTCCTAAACCCAGTGAAAACTCCGGAAAATTAAACAAGCGAATCAAGCACACACCACACACACAATGAGTCCACACCCCTTACCTTGTGATAGAAAGCTGCACCCGTGAGCACCATGGACACCTCATTGGTCCACTCAGACTCATACTTCCACTTGTTCATCTCATGGTCCCAGAGATGCAGGCGGCCTGGGTAGCCCACTAGCCGGTCAGGAAACTCCCGCCAGACCTAGGGACAGAGCATACCAATAAGCCATCCCTAGCTCAGATGACCACTGAGTGCTGAGGTTCCCAGATTGGCCTCAACAAACCACTGGGGTCAGGGTGGGCTTCTGAGGACTCCATCACGCATGGGCTAGTATTCTACCAGTGTCCAGCAACCGAAGTGGATTTGGATTTCTAGAATGTCATGTGCATGCGTGCCATTTCAAGTCATGTGGAAGAAGGGCTTGCTGAGTATTGCCTATGGCAGCTAGACGTGAAACCTACTGCCTTGCCCTCCTTTGCATACCATACATTTAGAAAGTTAAACTTAGCTGTCTGACAATTCATATGACTCTTCTGTGTGAACCCTGAGTGGGATTTGGTAGGGTGCCAGTTCCCTGTTGGGTTATGAGAATCAGCACTTCATTGTTCTATGCTCTGGGTATTCTGAGAACAACTGATTCTAGATTTGGGAAATCCTCAGAGATGCTGCTTGGGCTGACAGAACACAGTGCACTAGACATTGGTGAGGCACTTCTGGTACTTTCTCCCATGTGCTTCCTGTAATTTAGTTTGGCCTTTAGGATGGGCCTGAGGGGATGGCACAGTTCTCCAGTGCCTGCCTTGAACACTACAGGATCTTGAGTTCAGATTCCTAGAACCAATGTAGGAAAGAGGTGGGTTCACAGTGTCCCCCTGTAACCATAGCAGAGGGGGCAGTGACAGGCAGACCCCTGAAGCTCAATGGCTGGCTGGCCTAGTTAAATCACTGAGTTTCAGGCTCAGTGAGAAAACTTACCTCAAAAAATTAAAGTGGAAATCAAGGAAAGTGGAAGTCAAGGAAAGACCAGTGCTGACCGTGGACACATACTCCTGTGTGTGCACACAACACACTAACAAGCACACATGGACCAAGTGAGATGGCCTAGTGGGTAAAGGTGCCTCTGTCAGGTCTGATGACCTGGCTCCCTGCAGACTCACATGGTAGGAGAGAAGTGACTCCTGCAAGTTGTCCTCTGACCTCTATGTGCATATCACGGCACGTCCAGACCCACAATAAATACATTACAATGAAGAAAAAGATTTTTTAATCCAAGCATACACTACTCCCCCAGTTCCTATCCCACACATAATGTGCTCATTAAGTGGGGACAATTTGCTGCCCCCCCCCCCCGTGATGCTCCTTGTCTCCTCAGCTAGGTCAACCTTCAGCAGTATCTAAAGGATGGCACCCCCAAAGGCCCCACCTATCTCCTCAAACCCCCTCTTTATGGAATATCATTTCATTTCCTCACTTTAAATCCCAGCTCTAATTTCATGACCTGTTCAGCCCTGCAGACTACTGAGATACCCAACATCCTTCCAGCTACCCCCACCTAGGTAAATAAAGGATCTCTCCACCATGCTGAGCAGTGCCGTACTGAGTTAGACATGGCCTTTACCTTGTGTTCTGAACAGCACTGGTTACCTGCACCAGACCCTCACCAGATAAGGCTTGTTGAAGTTCAATTCCTTCACAGAAAGAGGAACCAGGCAGATCAACGTATCTTCCCGGAGACTCCAGCCATTCCCTATGACCTGCATGCCCCTCCCAGCTGCGTGCAATCCTTCTCAGGCTGCAGATGGTCTCAGGAGGCACTGCCGTATATGGGAAGAGGAAGATTAGCTGAAGGGGACTTCACTTTCTATACTGCATTTGGGAAGCAGTCATCCATGCTAGGCTGAGACTGTTCTGCAAAGCAGGTTTGAGTCATTTGTGCTCCTGTAAGTAAGCCCAATCAAAGCATTCCTTCAGCTTGTCACTGGTACCCGATCTAGGATGATGTTTGCAGGAAAAGTTAACAATGGCCCAAAGAGAACTCAATTCCACATCCCAGAAAGACCCTTCAAGCCTCTCTATCTCAGTCAGCCTTCCCATTAGCTCAAGCCCACATGCCCAGGTAGCCTTTGTCCTCCTTCCAAAGCTATTACAAAGTTTTGCTGGTTCTTCTGGCCACTCTACTACTTTCTGCCACCCCCCGGAGCTGCAACCAGATTCCAGGACAGCCACCTCTTCATCTCCTCCTGTCCTTTCAAACCGTAACTAGCCCAGCATCTCTAGCAGGACCAGTCTAGAACTACAAGTATTCTGCATAATTCAGCCGATAGGCTCTTTCCTACTGTTTCATGACTATTTTTGTTATGTATTTATCTATAGAAGCAATATGGTAATGTCCCAGCGTGACAAGCAGCTTCCCTACCACTCTAGGACATTGAGTCTAAGGGGCACATGTAGATACCATTCTCCAGGGCACAGCCAGGGTGTTAGCAGCAACACCCCTCCTTTGAAGTTACCTGGGGCTCTCATAGAGAACCACGATCTGAGGGCTTAGATTAGAAACTTCTCAAGTTCAGGAGACCAGAAGCCTGAGTCAAGGTTTGTCAGGGCCATATCCTACTGACACCTATTGGGAAAGACCCTTCCCTGCTTGTCACTGTCTTCTGGTGCTTGGTTTTCAGTTCTTTTGACTTTTTTTTTTTTTTTTTTTTTGGCCAACAGATATATCAACTAGCCCTCCATCCTCACAAGATCAGTTTGCCTCACTCAAGTCTGTCTGTCTGAAGTTCCAGTTATACACAGATTCTAGTCTTCACAGATCAGGGCCTGCCCTGCTAGCCTCATTTTAACTTGGTTATCTCCGAAAAGCCAGAATTTGGATACATCTTTATGAGGACACACATTTCAACCCCTAACATTTCCTGGAAATCTTTAAGAAACATTCTACCTCTAAAACAACAGCTTCCTATTTCACCTAGAATAATACCCAGAATCCTCTCCTTGCTAAGGACCCACTTCACGCCATCTTTTACCATGCTCTCTTTTGTGCTCTGTGATTGTGACTAGACCCCAAGCCCATTGCATCAAAAGGCTGGCTCCTTATAAAAACCAGTGGAGCCTCTGCCTAATGCCACCTGCAGCACGCCCCCCTCCTGTCACTTTGCAGCCCCCTGCTTCTCTTTATTAAAATTTCACTTGTGTTACTTCTCTCTAGAAGAGTTTCCACAGACTCACTGTGGTATCCAAGCTTGAAGAGCAGCAGTGCACATACCACAGCATTCCACACCAGCTGCTGAGGGCACAAAGGGGCTAGGAAGGGAGAGGAGGGGAGCCTTCCCTTTCATCATAGCCAGAATAGTGCACTCAACTCAAGAAGGCTTGCACAGTACACACCAGTGGTTACTGTTAGTGACAAGCATAAGGTCTTGAGGGTGACAAACACAGGAGCATTCTCCCACAGTAAGTTACATGTTCAAACTGCTTTTCCAGGGCGAGGGCAGGGGGCAAGTGAAAGGGGAAGTATTTGCTGAGTCATTACACTGTTATTACACTTTCTGCCCAGGCCTCCTCAGTCTTCTCCAGATTTTATGGGGCACCCAACCTGCATCATGGGTGTAGCCTGGGGGTCATAAGGAGAGCTTACCCTGGTGTGACACTGGTGCATCTAACAGGGTTCTCAGACTCACAGTCATGGCCTCATTAACACCATGCTGTAAACAACAGAACTAATGGGCTACAGAGATCATCCTAATAGCTGCAGATAAATGAATCTATGTCAGGAGTTCCCCCCGGATGTGTGAGCTGCTGCAGTGTGCTCTCTGGTATGGAGTGTGTATTTCGGCAGATTAAAATTGTATGAATTTATTATGGTTTTATAGAAGCAGGACACAAACAGTTGTATAAGCCAAAAGTCTATCTGTAGGCCAGGACAGATTTCTTTTTCTCAGCACACCCAAATCACAGCACCGTGCTGGCTAATCTGCCTCAGTGGACACTAGTGTCTGAAGGGCCCCAAGCACACACAGTAAGTAGCTGGAATGGCAAGATGTGGGTGTATATCCAACTCTACCGGCATTGCTGAAGATAGCAGTTGCCTTTCCTATTGACTTGGAGTTAACACAGCTCTATACTGAAATCAAAGCAACTTAAGTCCCCTCCTTCTTTACAAGCGTCCTCCCCCACCTCATCTGCAGCCATCATCCATCATCATTATCACCCCCTTTTCATTATTATGGTTATTATTATCTGCTCAGTTTTAGGGTCAAATGTTGTTAAAATTTCAGTACAGGATTCTTCCTGTTGGCCAGTTGCTTAGCCTTCTCTCCAGGACTTAATCCATGACACCGAGTCACGGACTGCCAAACTACAGTGTGCTGAAAGGCACCAGGGGTGTCCTGAGTCTTGGATTCCTTTGGAGCCTTTCCTGAGCTGTTCTTTCTGGGCCCCTCTGTCCTTGACTTACTCCAGGCAGCTGGATCCAATCAAGACGCCATCCTTGTCACTTCATCTATAACCCTGCAGCTGACTACAGGATCAAAACGAAGGGAAGCTGAATGGGATGGCCCTTACTAATCAGCCACCATAGAGCTGATCATGCACACAGTAAAGCATTTTCCCAGCCAGAGGAGCGACAGTGCCCACTCCGTGGCCCGCTCCCGGCTGAACACCCGACTCCAATTCCACTCTCTCTGGGGTCAGAGCCTTTGCACATGCAGGGTGGAAACTTTGAGGCTCCCCCTCCCACCTACATCAGCGATGCTTCCTACTCCAGTCCAGTCACAGGAGCTCTAAACAGCACCCTCGTGGATAGTCAGTAGCATAGCCCTGAGGGTCAAAGCCTAAAACAATCCAGACTTTCTATCTGAATGCAGATTACAGCTACAGAATATTCCTACAGCTGCTCCTTCCATGTCTTCACCCCAAACACGCCTTGCCTAATCCAAGATTTTTCTATTCTCAGGACCCACAGATGCAATTACCTGGGCCATTTCTACTTTCTTTAAAACAAAACAAACAACTCCCCAACCAGAAAGTGATGAGGTCTTCTGTGGCTTCCCACAGGGTACAGCAAAGCTCTTCTGCCTTTGTTTCACAGTCTTAAGAGGCAGCCTAACTGGATCCTTGCACCCATAGACACTGCACAGGGGCACAGGGCCAAAATAGATTGCTGCCCCACTGGCCCAGTTACAGTGGCCCATTTCCATTTC